GTTCAACATGGAAAATGCTAAGCCTCTTGGTACGCCTTTGGCTAATCACTTCACGTTGATTAAGAAAAATTATCCCTCTTCCAAGAAAGAAAAAGAAGAGAGTCCCTTATTGATGGGTTTTGAGCATAACAACATCCTATGTGATCATGCAACCCGAATTGAGTTGGATCTAATTTTTTCACTAATTTAACATGAAAATAGAATACCAACGCAATAATCCTAGATCTAGCATACAATTTTTGAAATCCATATGAAATAAGGGTTAGAAGATTACTTCACTTGTTATATAGTAATAAGACAATGTTGAGGATCCTTGACTCTTGAAAGCTTAGTGCCCCAAATGTTGCACCTCTAATGGTCACAAACACCTAATGCAACAAGATGAAAGGAGAGACACTAGATAATTGGCTTGAGTAAGAAACTTGTGCTTAGGCTTAAATTCTAATGACGTGGAGGGTTGATATATGGCTGAGGGCTACTAGGGTTTCTGGAGGAAACCCGAATTTCCTACTTAAGGCTTAAACAACCCATGGACCTCTTACCAGTAGGCCTTGAACAAAATCAATAAGGCCTCCCTATATGATTTCGTCCACTCCCAATTAAGGAGTCCATTAGCCCAGTTTCACAACTATCAATGATTTGCAAAACAACCCCTATTATTAATCAGTTCCTTTAATCCCAAAATTAATACCAAATTAATTTTTGATTAAATACTAGTTAATAATATGATTTCCAAATAATATATTAATATTATAATATATTAATAAAATCATTTTGAGTACCAATTTATTATTTCAAATAATAAATCCTACTCTCTCTCCACCAGTCATCCTATCAAGTTGCATGAGTGAAGGCAACCCAAAAGGACCATGCTACTATCAAATCAAGTACATACCAATAATAGTTATGGGATTAGACACCTAATCCAACACTTATTCCTCGTTCGTAGGAGATCTTATGTATGCAATGGTGTGTACAAGATCAGATATTGCTCATGTTTTCGGTATTGTGAGTAGATATCTAGACAATCCGGGAAAACAACATTGGGAAGCATTCAAATGGATACTTCGATACCTAAAGGATAGTTCAAAAATCTGTTTATGCTATGGGGGAGCAAAGCCAACCGTGGAAGGTTATAAAAATGTTGATATGGCATGAGATCTTGATAATAGGAAATCTACATCAAGCTACATTTTCACTTTGGCAAGGGGAGCTATTTCATCGCAATCCAAATTACAGAAGTGTGTAGCACTATCAACAACAGAAGTTGAGTACATTGATGTTGCTAACGGTGGAAAGGAGCTGATATGTATAAAACAGTTTTTTCATGAATTAAGATTTCCACAAGAAGAGTACATAATTAACTGCGAGAGCTAAAGTGTTATGGACCTGAGCAAGGAGTCGATGTACCATTCCCTCAGAAAACATATTGATATCCATTATCATTGGCTTATAGAAGTAATTGAGGGACGAGAATTGAAGTTGTTAAATATTAACACCAATGACAATCCTGCATACATGTTGACTAATGTGGTGACACAAGAGAAACATAAACTATGTACTCACATAGTTGGAATCATGATTATTGGACGGAGACTAGAAGGGGAGATCTATTGATTTCCAGCCTCCATCTAGAAGCCCACCATTTTTTATGGAACCATTTTCTTCCAAGGATGATAAGATTTCTTCTGACCCTGTGATGAACACATTAAATGGAGAAGATATAATGGTGGTTGAGATTATAGAGCATCTAGCATCAGTTTAAAGGCATCTAAAAACCATAGAGAAATAGATAGTATAACACTTAGAGTGTGAGTATTAGTGAGAGTGTTTGTTTTTTTTGTAATAGTTGAGTGTGAGAGTTGCTCTTTCTATTGTAGTTCTTTTTTGTGTTTAATAGAAAAGTTGTTCGACCCCAACAGAAGACAATACCTTTTTCAATCATTTCTTTTATCTACAAATGACTAGCTATTTAAAGGCGTTATTGATATTTAACAAGGTTAATAAAAAAATAAACAATAAGAACTCCATTATTTATTTGTATTAATTATAAGTTTTTTAAAATATGATTTTTTTTTTATTAATTTTATCGCAGGGTGACCATTCACATCCGTATATATGGCCACACTAGTTGTAAGACTCATGTATTACATGGATTAATTTTAAAAAAAAAAAGTTAAATATAAAGGTCAAAATATTTGAGAATTTTGAATTTATAAAAAAAAATAATTATTTGTTATAATAAAAATGTTTTTTTATCTTTTAAATTTAAATAAAGAAAATAAACTAATGAACTTAAATTTTAAGAATTTTGAAATTAAAAACTAAGTTTATTAGTGAAATTATTATCCATTTATTACTACATTTATTGCAATTATTACATTAAAATATTATATAGAATTTAAAAAAATATATATAAAACTCATAAAATGATATGTGGGAAAAAATTAATTCAAAATAACCACAAAATAATATTTGACAAATTAAAAGAGAGTGTGACAAGTGCCAAAAAAATATTTATTTATTTGAGAGGATTGATTTGGAAGTCTTGTATGCCGTATGATCTTATTAACTTGGTAAAGTGATTAGCGTCGACCACCCTCATATTACAGATGTAAACAACACCACATATGTAGATGCACCTTTCATGCCCGTCAAGAAACGCCAGAACCCTCTATCTATTAATTAAAACGAATTAAGTTTGCCATATATAAATCCAAAAATACATTGTTATGTTTGACGTACTAGCTGAAAAGTTAGCAGCTAGTTGAAAAGCCAGCAGTTAAATAAAAAGCTAGTTGACAGCTGAAAAGCTAACTGATAAAAATGACGTTTGGTAAAACTAACTGAAAAATATAAAATGAAATAAAAGGATATTTAAAAGAATTTGTTTCTATTATTATTTAAATGATATATATGGAAAATTTTAAAAAGCTCCTAAAAAGTACTTTAAGTTGCTTTTTAACAAGTTAGCTGAGAAGCTTGCCAAAAATAACAATTTAAAAAATACTCGAAAAATAAGTTAACTTATCATTTACCTATGGCACGTCAAACACAGTCTTAAAAGAATCTAACTATTTTATATTAATTATTAAAAACTTTTTATTTTTACACTCCACATTACTTGTAATAAATGTTCACTCCAGTTTAGACTGTGAAAACTATAAAACTGAATATCCAATTAATAGTGTCTACGTTCTCTTCACCCCACTTTTCACCTATTCCACATGGGGCCTTTTTCTTCTAATTAAAGTTATTCTTTTTTTTTTTTTTCATTTTTATACAAAAACTTATTTGTCACGGAAAAAAGTAATTTAATTTAATTTTTTTTTACAATTATTTTAAAAGTAAGTATCTTACTGTTTAGTTTTATTTAGGTTGAATATTGATTTTTTGCAGCTTGATTTTTTTTTAATCGGAATAACAAAACTATTTATTAATTTTATTAAATTGTAATATATATTATTAATAAATATGATTTGTTTAGTTTTGTTAATTTATATAAAGATATATCATATTTGCTTTTAAATTGGAATAATAGTATAAGATAAATTTCATAAATAATTTTGTTTTTCTTTTTTCTTTTTGGTTTTCCTTTTAGCTTAGCGACTTTTTCTTTTCGTATAAAACTTTGATTATTATAAAATTTATTATAGTTTGAGTTTGGAGTCTAGTAGCTTTATTGTTTTGATATTAATTACATATTTTAGGTTTAACGACAACTTTATCAATTTAAAAGAATAATATTTTAATAAGTTTTTTTTCATACAATTATATTTACACTTTAAAAAAAGTTTATCTCTGAAGTGTTAGGTGAAGGATTTTTATAATAATATTATAGAATAAAAAAAATGTTACAGTTTCTATTATTTCAACTTAATAGTCAATGAATATATATATATATATATATATATATATATATATATATATATATATATATATATATAATAAAAAAGAAAGAGAATTAGAGAAAATAATAATAATAAATATTTTTTTCGGAAAACAATGTAATAAAATCCTTAATTAATAAAAATGATTAGTTGATAGTAATGATTAACCTAAAATATATTAGAGTAGGGTGGAGTGTTCATAACATCATCCATTATTAAAACAACAAACCGCACTAATAAATTCTAATTAAAAATAGCTTAGCTCATAAAGCATTTTCAAACCTACTCCAAACTCCATTTTTTCTTTTATTTTGGAGTTCTACCCTATCAAACTCGTTTCATTTCCAATATCAAACTCGGTTTAATTTCCAACTTCATTTTGAAGTAAATGTCAAAATGACTGGTATAACTCTAACTGTGGAGGAGTGCTATTCATTATTTGCTCATCCACGAACTTTTAGTTGTTAATTTTAGTTAAGTATTTTAGATTTATCATTTTTTATGTTTTAATTAATTATTTATAATTTAAATGATATTAATTAATCCTAGTTATAATATTTATATACTTTATATAAAATTGTTAATATGTTTTAAAATCTAATATAAATTGAAAAGTGTTTTTCATAATTATATATATATATATATATATATATATATATATATATATATATATATATATATATATAAATATATTCGGAATAAAATTGAAGTAATGATGGAAATGAGATAATATTTGGTAATTATTATTATTATTACTTATTTTAAAGTTAAAGTAAAAAAAAATGGATTGAAGAGATGTTGTGTACGTTGAAACTACCCTAAATATAATAATATTTTCTAGATAAAACGCAATGGCCGGGTTCATAACAAAAATATAATAATAATATGAATATAAACAAAACCAATAAGGAAACACAAATACTTTTTTGACTTTATCTCCATGTATTTATTAATATGTGTAAAAAAAAATTGTACAATATTAGTTGACGTTTCAATCCGGCCATGCATGATAGAGTCAACATAAAAACCAACGTAAAAACAACGCCTACATGACGAACACACGATATATATAAATAAACACATATCAATCTATATGTTATTCAAAGTGTATGTATCTTCTTCCCTCCATTTTCCTCCGCCACAAGACGCCCTTGGGTTGTCAGATAACCATATCTGAATCTTCTTTGACACTTAAGAGATTTGTTCAAATTATTCCTCCTACTTCTTTATCTGAATCACACACAAACACACACACGATTTCACAGTTAGTGTGTGTAAATTCGAGTCTGATCAAACAAAGCTTCATCCATGGCCGGCCATCGTGATCAAAATCTGTTCGGTCATGACGATGATATCAATCCTTTTGCAGTAACTCTCTCTCTCTCTCTCTCTCTCTCTCTCTCTCTCTCTCTCTCTCTCTCTCTCTCTCTCAAGAATATAAATATTATATCTATATACACATCAAATTGCTTTATGCATGTTTCGTGATGATCAAAAACAAAGATCCATTCGGTAAATGTAATGTTCTAAGCTCAAGCCCACAAAATAATTCAATTATTTTGAAAAATAAATAAATTTTATTTGTATATACACATCAATTCGCTTTATACATGTTTGGTGATGATAAAACGAATAGATCCATTCGATAAAATGTAAACGTAATGTTCTAAGCTCAAATCAGTAAAAATTTAACCGAAGTTTTCAAATTGTTCAAAAAACCGCAATTATGTTTTATCTGTTCAAAAAAACCCAACGAATTTAACATTTTGTCTAAAAAGCCTAATTAAGTTATACTTTCCTAAAAATCAAATAAGAGAAATAGATGACGTGGCTTATTACCGTATCGGGAAAATGACTAGTTAGACGAACAAAGTTTTCAAAACGTTTAAAAAACTCCAATCATGTTTTGACTGTTCAAAAAAAAAAAAAACCCAATAAATTTAAACAAAACAAAATTGTGATTTTTTGAACGGTTTGGAACTTTGTTGGACTTTTTAGACAAAAAATTAAATTCGTTGGATTTTTTTGAACAGACAAAACATGATTGAAATTTTTTGAATGATTTGAAAACTTTGTTGGGCTTTTAAATCATTTTCCCTATAAATTATCTCAAATGATTTTGTGTAGTTGTGTAACTTACAATAATGCTTATGATTCATAATTTTAGATTAATCGAGTGATTATTTGTGTAAAATGGGAGCTATTGTGAAAAACAAGACTTCAAGATATACAAATATATATAAAATGGTGTTACACCGATATAATATACATTAATAATTTATATATTGTTTGAAACAACAAAAATGATAATTAACTCGGGATATAAGATTACTTTATTTTTCTATAGAGTCATAACAACAATCATCGAGTCCCTCCAAGCTCCAAGTTATCAACTCTTGGTCATGAACCTGCACTTGCCTACGGTCATGGCGGCGCTGCACCACATACTTCTCTAGATACGCCTACGGTAATTCAAGTTTAACTACAATGTGTATTTTATTAAATCTTGTATTTATTTTTAATGAATTAATAAATTATTTTGTCTTGGAAATGTATTTTGAACTTAGAAATTAAAGAAGAAGAGACAGGAGTTGGAAGCTAAGGAGGCTGAATTGAACAAGAGAGAAGAGGTATTTAGGGTCACAATAGTTTAAATTCAATCAATGTCTCTATCAAATTTTATTGTCCATAACCAAAAAAATAGTTACCAATTTTCAAAGGGAACAAGAATAATTTTCAGAAAAATAAAAGACAAATTTTGACTTTAGTTTTTCAACCAAAAATAATTAATGAATGCAGATCCTGAAATAAAAACGAATTAAAAATTGTAAATTATTATTATATCAGGTTTTTAATTTATTTTTTAATGGATGCAGATCCTGAAACGAAAAGAAGAAGCAATAGCAAAATGTAAGTTCTTATTTCTTAACATCTTTCTCACTATATTTTATCTTGATTTTTAGACCCTAAAACAAAAAGTGAAAAAAAAAAAAAAATGAACGTTACAAATAACAAAAACCGTTCATAAAATTATTCACAAAAAAACCCGAGTTTATTAATTAATGACTACAAAAAATTTCTTATTAATATTCTTTTGTCTTTCATCATTGTATAGCTGCTGTTGCTGGCATTAGAGTTAAAAATTGGCCTCCATTTTATCCCCTTGTACATCACAATATTGCGGGTGATATACCAATTCACCTTCAAAGAATACAGTATGTTGCATATGCAATATTATTAGGTACGTTCTCGAGCTTCGATGTGTGTTACTCTGATATAAATTATGCTAAAACAAAATTTTAGAATGATTATACTTTGTTGTTTCAGGAGTACCAATTTCGCTTTTTTGGAATCTTATAATGAGTATAGCAGTATTTGCAAGTGGGGCAGGTTTGTATTTTATCTCATAGAACATTTTGAATAATATCTTTTATTTGACTTCATAACATCTTTTGCCCCATCTTCTATAGAGGGTGCCTTTGTGTTCTTCTCTGCAATCTACTTTTTGTTAGGGCCTCCGGGAGCCTTTTACTTTTGGTATCGTCCACTGTATCGTGCAAATAGGTAAGCATGTCTCGTTATATATATATATATATATATATATATATATATATATATATATATATATATATATATATATATATATATATATATATATATGGGAAAAAGTAAATATACCCTTAAGGGTATATAAGAATAGGTACCTTAACCCACCATAATATATCGTTTTTTTGATATATTTATTATAATGTGTTCTTAAACTTCAACGCTAACTTGATTTACTTTCAAGATTTTCGAAATTTCACTATTATCTTCCTCTTACATCACATCTTTATGTCGGACACGCTTTATATATTATAGTTAAAAATTAAAATTATGTAAGAGGATTATAAATATAAAATTTATATAAAATTTAGAATTAAATCAAGTTAGAAGTTGAATTAGAAGAACATTGGATAATTACAATGTGTATATATGATACAAAATAAAGTAATATTGTGAGTTTGGGTACCTAAGCTTATATACCCTTAAGGGTATATTTACTTTTCCATATATATATATATATATATATATATATATATATATATATATATATATATATATATATATATATATATATATATATATATATATATATATATATATATATATATATATATATATATATATATATATATATATCATCTTTTTTCAATTTTGGTGTTACACACTTCACGTCACTCTATCTAAGTGACTTAATTTTATACATAAATTATTAAATATTAACATAGAAATAAATGTGTTTTTTTTTAAATATATGGTTACACCAATCACACCAGGAACTTTAAAATTAGTCCAATATTATATAATATACTTATATTTTCTAATATAGAATAAAAATCAGTCAATTGTTGCTTTAACGGGTTTAATTACTTCAAATATTATTAGAAATTAAGTAATAGTTAGTTACATATCGTATATTTTTTTTATGTGTTAAATAAAATACAATTAAATCTTCTAAAATATTTTTCCATATGCAGGACTGATAATGGTACAAGCTTTGGTTGTTTTTTCTTCAACTTCTTCGTGAGTATCTTACATCTCTTCAACTTTATATTTTCATAACAATTATAAATTGTAACTCGATTTATTCTTGAATAGAATCACATCTTGTTCTTTACCTTTGCTGCAATTGGTCCCCGCATATTATTTGTTGGGCTACATTTTGCGTGAGTTCCTCATACATTTTTGACAACTTCTCATATTTTCTTTATGTTTTATACAAGAAAATATAAGTTAAATAATTGTTTCTTGTTTACAGTGGGATCTTGAATGCAATAAGTCTCATGAAAGACCATCCCGCACTCGGGGTAATCTCAGAATTTCAATACTTACATAAAAAATTTACTTTTTATATTACAATAAATAAATAACACTGACAAGTTTTTATTTTGTAGATTATGAGCTTTATAGGATTTGTATTGTTTGCAATTGAGGCAATTGTAAGCATATGGGTTTTCCAACAAGTCTATCGGAACTTTCGTGGTCATGGCAAATCAGCTACAATACGAATCGACCTTTAAGGCAAAGAAAATAGTCCAATATCTCTTTTCAACTAAAAATAGTTCTGCAATGAGTATGAGATCGCGCAGTGTTTCGTTTATGGATTGTTGATTGTTTATTGTTATTTATAAACAATAATCTTTTATTTGTGACTAAATTTTATTTTTTTTTTTGAAATAGTGATTAATTGTTATAGACATTTATGATATTTTTGACGGATATTTTGGAAGTTAATCACTTATATTTGTTGTTACTAGAGATTTTTCTAATCATAATTATTATTTTACACGTTTTACCGAATACTATATAAGCACATCTTGATGATGTTGTGCATAATTCTTGGAGTAACCAAGATCTTCGGTTGGTGATGTTGGGTGACAACCAAACAAGCTAAGAACTTCGGACAAATATCAAAACAAACTTCGGTGAACTTGCGGAAATAAAACTTCTGAAAATGTAAATCAAGTTAACACAATATTTAACATGGTTCGGTCAAGGTAACCTACATCCACGGGCGAACGAGAGAGAGAGAGAGAGAGAGAGAGAGAGAGGATTTTATTAACTTCCAAGAATAAATACAATCACACACAAATGTTACACCTTACTTGAGCTCTCAAAAAAAACAAGAGAATCTCTCTTGCTTACTAACTAATCCAAAGGAGTGCTCTCAACCTCACAATGATTATTCTCTTGAAATTTATGCACACATATAATGATAGAGATATGAGTCTATTTACACTTGAAGGATTAGCCCTAAAACCCTAATGGGTCAAGCCTATTGGCCCATAGACCCATGAATGGTGACAACCAATCATATCCCGCCATGCAACATCTTCTGGAACATTCTTCCATGTCACACAACCCATGAGCATCAACAACACACATGATAGAGCACCTTGTGCCATAGTGGAGCGTCATGATGTACAAGTGGCGCATCATGAACACTAATGGCCCAACATCCATCTTGGTAGCACAACATAATGTAATCCTTGAGCAATACCAACTTCTGAGCATCCTTGAATGATCTTAAGCATCATAGAGGACTTCATAGAATACTTGACTCATCGGGGATACCATGGCCCATCAAGGAACCAAAATGGCCCACGTTGCACCATAATGGAGCAGCATGTGCAAGGATGTCGCAACATGCTTCAAGTGTGGCGCAAGAACTTTTAGGTTGGAGAAACATCACCATCTTACCACAAACAACAAAATACATGGCACAACAAGGTCATGCTTGGCACAACAGCATATTCCATGGCGCAACATGAGTACTTATGGCGCAAGAGAGGTACCCCATGGCGTAAGAGGGAGTAGTTTGGCGCAAGAAGTAGTTCCTTTGGCATAATGATCAATACAACTTATATCACATATTTAACACCATTTAATGATGCTATTGCACCGTTTTTCCCTTTTAAAGATTTACTACGATAAAAATATATGCTTTATATGTTTTGTAGAAGTTTTGGAGATATCAGGCAAAAAAATAGGTTTTTTGCAGCAAAGTTTCACCGTACCAACATAACAAATTTCCGTAATGATGTGGGTCTTTTCCTGTAACCCTACGGTAGTATATCGTACCTTAATTGATAGCTAGTGAGCCCTAATGTGAGATGGCCATAGCCCTACAGTAAAATCAGCGAGACCTACGGAAGAACACCCGATATATACGGTGAACAATGAAATCAGACATCGAATGAAATTGAGAAAATCATATGGTGAACCTTTGGCTATCCTATAAATACCCATCTTATGTCTCATAAATAGACACACATCAACTAGGGTTTATAAGTCATTGCATCTGGCGATTCTTTAAAGAGCGACACATGGGTTGAGATTTTCATAATTTTCTGCATTCAAGGCTTCAAGTCATTAGGTTGAACCGGTGGTTCAACTATCGAAGATCACCAATTCATCATCATTTTCTCCAACCTCACAATCCCATTACTTGTCCCCCAAGGTTTCCTCGTTTCTATTTTTCCAGTTATTAGACATTAATAGTTTTTATGATCTTTCATGTGTTCATGAATCTTATGTTGAATTATATTGTTGTCATTAAAGTCATGTACTTTTTTATTTTTATGAAAGGATAAATCATTAGGGTTACTTCCGAGGATGTTTAGGATTTTTGGATGAACACACTTGATTATTAATTACTTCTATTTGATTTTAATTTTATGGTGTGTTTATATGATAATCTCTTGGTGATAATGATTTAAATTGGGTTATTTGAATTTGTGTGATTTCATAATTAAAATAGTGCATTGTCAATTCACCGATTGTTCCAAGTTCAAGTAGTTTCGGAATAAAGACAATTGGTTGAATTCACATGTATTATTCCAAGTTGTGATATTAAATTTTAATATTGTAATAGTTAATTGCAAGACACTTTATTGCTAATTCACTAATTGTTCCTAATCCTAGTAGACATGGGGAGTAAGACAACTAGTTGAATGAACATGTTGTGTACCCAAAATTATGTGTTGCAAGATACTAAACCACAATTACATCTAAGTAATTGAACTAGGATTTTAGGGAAGTAAGTGTGTGAATCTGAACTGTGTGACAACTGAACTGGGAGTACCTTATTTTCTCATTCATACCGTAACATCCCAAAATGAAGACCAAAAATTTCATTTTTGATATAGTGATTTATAAACAATTTATAAGAAAACATCATCAAGTTATTTCATTTCATAAAAACCATAGATCACATGTCTCAAAACCATCTCATGTAATAGTAACAATTTTAGAGTGCAAATCCCAAGAATCTCATGTGCGGAAAATCATGTGTGTGATGCGCTGCTACCGGGCCGGCTCCTTTCCCTCCAAAGAAGAAGGACCTGAAACAAAAATTGAAAACCGTAAGCACAAAGCTTAGTGACTTCCCTCATCATACCACATACCATATAACATATATACTGTCTAACATATCTGGGTACTGGACTACCCCTTCAGTCTCTTTCAACCGGCAACTGCGTAGCATATTAGCGTGCTGGCCTACCTATTCGGTCCTATCGACTGCCACCTAACCTAGCATATCAGGGTGTTGGCATACCCCTTCGGTCCTTTCGACCGATACCTTTCCTAGCATATTAAGGTGTTGTCCTAACCCTTCGGTCCTTTCGACCAGTACTAGGGACTATTTCACCCCTACTCTACCATACACCATCCTAGTACATAAACATATAATCAGATATTTCCTAGCTTATATGGGTTCTGGCATACCCCTTCGGCCCTAACGACCGGTACTGGTATCTATCCTACCCCTCCTATCACATATCACATAACATCAAAGCATACTAGCACATAAACATAAAAGATAACAACATACCATATAATTATCACAAAGACAATCATCTCTACTATAACCCTTACTAGTGGGTTGGCCTTGGTACCTTAGACCCACTTCTACTAGAAGGTAACTCACCTCAATGGAAGTAGCTGAACTATCATCGACTCCGAGATCAACTCTCCTGAAACTCCTACATATAACATCTTTTTTAATCACTCTTTCATACACATGACCCCTTTAAGGGTCAACTCTAGTCAAAGGCCAACCTTCAGGTCCAAGTCAACCTTCTGGTTGACTCAACTCGTCGAGTTGGTTGACCAACTTGTCGAGTTCCTGGGTCCATAAAACTTTGGAGTTTCGATCCTACCCGCCGAGTTCTTCCATGAAATGTCGAGTTCCCCTTCATATAAGTCGGGGAATTTTCACTCGCAACTCACCGAGTTAACCCTTGAACTCGTCGAGTTCCTCTTCATGTATGTTGGGAAATTTTTCTTATCAACTCACCGAGTTCATCCTTAAACTCGCCGAGTTTGTCACAACTAGTATTTTAAGACTAGGAAATTTTGTCCATGTGTAATTACTTCTGGAGAATTCTTGGAACCTTAAGTATAATGTTATACATGTTATTCATTCAACAACAATAATTCGAATGAAAATTTACATGTGAAGCCCTAAACCTAATTCAATTCAATACACTCACTCATCTTTGGGTTTAAAACCTTAACTTTCCTATTTAAATCTCTTATTGGACCAGTATACCCTTATTGTGCCTAATAGGCCAATAAACCCTCAACTTGGTTCTTTTGGGGCAAGAATACGCATTTGGGCCTAAGTTGGACCCACATTCATTAAACTATAGTATTTTGGGCCATAAGACTCTTCATGGGTCTTATTGGGCCGAAAATACTCATCTTGTCTTTATGGGCCTATTTTAGCTGAAAACCACTTATTTAATTATAATGGGCTGAAAACCCATATCCTTGCACTTATTGGGCCTTTAACTCATATGTTGGCCCACATGAATCGAAATTCCTAATGTGCCAATGCTATATCAAGCCGAAGATCCATGTTCTTTTCTTTCTTCCCATTCTCAATTATATATATATATATATATATATATATATATATATATATATATATATATATATATATATATATATATAAGAAAATAAAAGAGAAAATTTAATGGAGTTAAAATAGTGACACCTCACTAATGCTTCCCATACATCCATGTAAAATGTCCAACAAATATCTAGACAATTAAGAGATTACCCATTAAGCAAGGACCTTAACCTCACCTCCTCTCTCTTCTATTCTTATTCTCGGCCCTCCCCTCTCCATTTCAAACTTCATTTCATTTCTAAATTCTCTCAAAACTCTCAAGAACTCCCTTCCATCCTCTCTAAAAATCGTGTGTTGCTTAAGTAAATTCAAAGCTTCTACTTCAAGAATCATTAAGTTGGTAAGTTATTATTACCCTCAGTTGGTTTGTTTCCATTTCATGTTAAGGTTCACACTCTTAAACACTCCATTTCATGATTCTTGCTTCCTAGAACTCCCTAAGCTCGAAAACTCATCTCAAGGAAGCTTCCAAGGCCGAAAACACCTTCATCCTCATTTGTTTCTTCATCAAAACCGAATCCATCACCAAGGTGAGTTCATACCCCCTTGCTTTTGGTTTTAATATGTTTTTGGGGGAGAATACAAGTCGATTTTTTTGTTAGATCTAAGTATTTATGCATGTATGTGTGTGTTTTCATGTTATATGTTGGGATAATGCTATAAAGATATGTTAAACCTTCATAAATCTCGAAAGATATACCAAAGCTTGGTGATGTTTGTAAACTAAATCACATTATGTAACTTACTATGAAGTTGAAAGGATTAAACGTGTTAAGAAATACTTGAAAACTAAATAAAAA